TATATATATATATATATATATATATATATATATATATATATATATATTATTTTTCCATTTGTTATAGTGCCTTTTTAGTTTTTCCACTAATGTATTGTAAACTAACTAACAGTGTTTATACTGTATATCAGGCAGGAGAGTTTGCATGGGAGCAACTGCAGGAAGCTGTGTTGGCTCACAACTCATTGCACAGTTTAGACCACAGCCTTAGTCTCCTGCCAAACCTTAAGGTATGTTGCAAGAAATATGTAAGTACTTACTGTATCTTGTACTACTATTGTGGGGATTATTTGAAATTGTATTACATTTGAATTTTTTGTATATTCTGTCATTCAGTATGGTATTTGCTTGCTTCTCTGTTGGTCTGTACTGTTTATAAAGCTAAATGCTTGAGCACTGATGAAATTTGGTGGATTTTTCTTGATAAGATTTGAAGGGATTATGTCTCATTGGTTATTTACGTTCTGTGATGTTTTTTTGGAGTAATTAGGGCATAGAAACTGTCATAATTTATATTATGAATTAATGGTTATATGGCTAACCATTGCAAGCATAGAAAATATACATAAAACGTTTATGATGATGATGATGATTATTACAGTATTATTATTGAAACCAAACTATTTTTGGTACTTAAGCTTTCAATTACAGTTCACACGTATTACAGTGTTTAGGTACATGTATATATTTTCTGGCAATTTGTATGATAGCGCCTTTAGTAGAAATTTGAGGTTTATGGTGCTAATACTGTATATGTTTTTGTTTGAACAGATACTAGACTTAAGCCATTGTGAACTGGAGGATGCCTCAGCTCTGGAGTACCTCCCTACTGTGTCGTTATTAGACCTGAGCCACAACCAACTACGGCTCCTTCCCCGTCTCTCTCCTACTGCTACCTACTCTCTTATAGTTCTCATAGCCAATAACAATCTTTTTTCTCACATAAGTGGTGCGTATATATTTTGTTGTAGTTTTGGGTTGCTTAACAGCCATTTACATTACTCTTTTAAGAATGGACATCATATACAGTAGTATTTTAAGATGAAGTGTTACAACAGTTTTATATTCTGTAAGGATGCTACTTATTTTTCCTTATTTAGGTTTACATGAAATGAATAACATTGAGGAGCTGGATCTGAGGGACAATGTATTAAGTTTGAAGGAAGCGTTGTCACCCATTGGTGCCTTACCTCATATTAGAGTGCTCAAGATAAGTGGTAACCCTATCACATGGGACCTCAACTACAGAAGTCAAATTATCAGACAGCTAAATCCTGCTACTGCCAATCACAAGGTACTATATATGTTGACTTAGTTATGAAATTATTTTCACCATTAACTTTACTAATGTAACACTTGTCATATGTGCAGCTTTATGTTTGATAGAGAGGAACTTATTCATGTATGTGTTAGAACTTGACAACTTGTTAAATATTTGGTCATTTTCTTAGGACACAAAATCATAATAGTCCTTGTGATGTATCATTAACTTGTCCAACTTAACTCTCTTTCATCTTTTATGGTTAAATTTTTTAACTCACTGTGTTTCTTCAATAAATGTTTATTATCACTTTTTTTTACTGCTCATTTAAGATAATGTTGTTTGCAGGTTGTGTTTGATGATGTGCCTCTAACAGGTCAAGAATATGATGAGGTTGGGATGCATGCAGTGCCAGCAGGATCCTCTTACTCCCCAGAACTTCTTTCATCCCTCTCCTCCCTTTGTTCTCCAGTGAATCCAATAAGTCCAGCACATGGACTAATCTCACAGCCTCTGTAATCACCTGAAGAGGCAGATCTGATTCAGCTAGATCCAGTAGACTCCCAACCAGCAAGTTTAGTTAATGATTCAGCTCCTGTATCACTCAAAAACTCAGGTTTGGTTGTGTTCTGCTCTTGGCATTTAGATTGTATATCATCTGGGTATTTAAGAATTGTCTGTTATGTTTTACTTTTGCATGATTTTTAAGTGGTGATGAATTCTTTTAAATCCTTTACACATAAAGATGGTGCATCACAACCACTCTAGATATTAACAGTAGTGTACAGTGTTATGTGAGTGAAATGATGTACAAAATTTCAATTTGAATACATAAGAATTTATGTATTTCCTTATTATTACTTCTGGTAAGGAATCATACTCATATATACAAGAGGCTGTTATAATTTTATAATCACCACCAACCTGATAACTGACTGAAGTATTAATTTATGCTCATTCATCCCTCTGGTAATAAACATCACCCTTGGCTGTGAAACTTTCTTATATTTGACGTAGATTTTTGGTGCTCAATGCAAATACTTCTCTGTTACCGTCTAGTAGAAGTTTTCATGCTAAAAATTTTATAATTGTTGCCCATGCTTGGAAGGCAAGGACAGCTGCCAGTGTGTCCCTTTTTAATATTCATCATACCTGAATGTCATCAAACTTACGTCAAGTAGAGGATGCAAAGGAGACCATTGCCTCTATTTTCATGTACAGTGCTTCTCTTGGGGGTACATGATAACAAATTTTAACTATCTCGATGAGCATGGTTTATATGGAAGATTCTCCTCTCAGATTCAGAAGAGCTAACTCTTAACTATGTTGGATTAAAACTTAATAAAGTTTACCTTTGAAGTATTTTAAGAGCAGACGAATGTCAACTGTCTTTTGATTTATTTTTAGTTCATTTTTGTTAGCATGAAACACTGATGTCTATGTTTCCCATTTATTCGATATAAGTACAAATCAGATTTTGACTGGTGTGACTAGTCCTTTCAAGTAATCTTTATTATTTTCATGTCTATCAAAACGTTCTGGGTGTTTAAAAAATGATGTGAAGTTCTTTTCAGCTGGTTTTTGTATTGAGTTACTATATGCAGCAGTCATTTTTATATCAATATTAATTTGGTCCTTTCTCCTTTATTTAAATGAAATCCAACAAAGTGCATATAATGAACCTAAAATTTAAGTATTTTCATGGAGAGGTATATTTTCAGACCCAGCAGGGCAGGGCTTGTTAATCTCATTGTGATATTTTTCTAATAAGAAATGGCTTGATAGGTCCCTGTGGGTATGTGAAGTCAGCCCTCCAACATGGTTTTACTTTGTTAACATATTTGGCATGTATTTGAAGGTTGAGATGTACCATATGTGAGACTCAGAATGGTTGAATACTGTAATGGCTTTTCTTTGTACTGTAATTAAAAGTGATGAATTTTGTCCATATTCACTAAAAAGGATTAATACCTATTAAAAATATTTGCTAGTGGCTACCATGTTTGAAACATCCAATAATCTCACTACCCAGGCAATGGACAACCCCGCAGAAAATCAAAGAAGAAACGCACTCGACATATAGCCATCACAGATCCTGATAATGAGGATATGGACAATGACAGTATACATTTGGCAGACAGTGACATGTTGGAAAGAATGGGTAAGTCTTTAACAGTCATGCTGGGTGGAAAATCCAAAAGTAACTATTGGTTTATTTGGGATTTGAAGACCTGGCTAGTATGTTCATTAGACTCTTTATTTCAGATCAAAACTGTTCTATTAATTTATTGTTTGATGTGGTGGGCAGCTATGTACCACAATTTTAATATGTAGTTTAGAAAGGAATAAGGATTAAGAAAACAACCAGTGGCATATACAGGAAAAGATACAGTCATACTGAATGTAAATGATGATTGATGACTTAAGCTATTCAAGGACATACTGTAGATACGAGTAAAATGATGCACAAGAAATGGTAAGTTAAGAGTTACTTAGAGGAAACCTTGCAAAACAGTGGACATGTTGATGTAATAAGATTACATATGGTTTTGGAGAGATGGTCAGTGGAATTTAGAGACCTATGAGTTAGGGGCTTTTAAATGATAAAGGACTTCCAGAAATTAGGTAGTTTAAGAGAACGTAAATATTTGCAAAGATGGATATTCAAAATTAATTTGAAAAAATGGGAATTGCATTCAGCTAGAAATATTCAATGCCATGATATATACAGATAATTAAATAGACTCCTGCAGAATAAATTAAATTGTGCTATTACAGTATGCATCGAGTTGTTGGAGCTAAGAAAATGTATTTTATTTGAAGGTGTACCCGACCCACCTCCACCTAGTTTGGCAGCTGGTCCAACCTTCACTCTTCCCACCTCAGAAAGTTTCACTCAGGCTCTCAATGCCCACACCCTCAAGACTGACAGGAGGTAAGTTACTGCCAGGTAATGAGTTATTTTTTTGTGTTTTGTGTACAGTTCATGGACTATGAGGAATAAAATGAGAAAGCAAATTTTTTCTGTGTGACATGTCACTTATGAATGTAACTTAAATATGGATTTTTTTATTTGGAATTTGTCACTGTAGCAGGAACATTTTCCATAGCAATAGTTTGTTCTTCAATATTTGTTAAAGATGTTAAAAATTAAAAATGCAAAAACATTTTTTATTCAGAAATCCTGCTCCTGAGCAAAGTAACAGATTACTTGAGGAAATTCTTCAGTCCAAACCCCACTCTGGGACCCCAGGTGCTCAATGTGATATGACCAATCTAGTCAACATGGCCACAAATGAAATCAGCAACCAGGATGAAAGAGTAAACACAAATAAGGATCCATATATATATATATATATATATATATATATATATATATATATATATATATATATATATATATATATATATATATATATATATATATATATATATATATATATATACATACATACATATATATACACCTGTATATATATATAGATATAGATATAGATATAGATATAGATATATATATATATGTAATACTCAGAAATTTCAGAGTAAATTCGAATGCCCTGCCATTGGCAACACTGAGCGTTCAAGGTCGCGGGAGGGAAAAGAGCGCTGCCTGCTCATAGCGAGAGATTGCGGAACTAGGCCTATATGATATTAAATGTAATTTACCGAATTAATAATGATGCGATTCATGAAGTAAGGGACTATTATTGAATTTGAAATTATTATAGATCGTTTATCAGTCTGAATAATGTTACGGGTGTCCCAAGGAGTTATTAGTTAGGCGGAAAATATGTCACGTAGGCCTAAGCTAACGCCTTGAGAGGACGCGACGCTGGCTGGCCCTCAGTCGCGGGGAGGATTCATACAAAACAAGACGTCCCTGCGCGTCCGTCACAGAAATAGTCACGTGGCCTAGTCACCTGTGCTGCGCTATTGCAGTATAACAAGTAAGTCTCATTCGATCTCAGACAGGGTTAGATAGGGCAGTGGTAAAGTAAACTAGAGCTAACAGTGAGTTCATTTCAGGGTTTCCGTCAGAACCCACTTGACTGGAGTTGACCGGAGTTGACCTGAGTTGATTGCGAGAGATTGACTGCCGTTTGAGACTGCCGTTGATGATTGAGGGTGGCGATTATCGCCATTGGACCGATCAGTGTAGGCCTGTCACTGTTTAGCGGGGTAGCAAAGGATCTCTTGAGTGAACGAGTGCTTCCGACAACTAAAACGACGGGACCAGCATCCACAGTGGGTGATCAGTTCTTACCACTCGGTGCACAACACCACATGTCCCGAGCAGCTAGTGAAACCCTCTTGCTAACGGGAAGCTAAAGTTTCTCTCAACTGTACAAGGTCTGATTGGCTCACTCCCTTCCGCTTTATGGACGCACTGGGAGTACACTGAGGCTATCTGAGTAAACTAATGGTCACACACTGAGACCGTGAGTCTAGGTCTCTAGGAGATACGTAGAGGAACATCTTCCCTCCCTTATTACGGGTGTAGTTAACACCATTCCTCAGACTGATATTATCTTGACGTGTGTAGTTTAATAGTCCTAAATAATTTTGATAGTATTGTTTTTGAATGTTTGTGCCATTAACTGGAACCAGAGTGATACTGTGATTTGATTCTTTTAATGCATCTAATTGTTCTTCATAATTCTGATCTCAGGTATAACCTTGTTCCCCAGAGTAGTGGTTAAGTTAGGTTAGGAAGTGTGCATCTGTTGGGGTGCTATTATTTTGTTGAAAGCCCTTAAGGCCTATTCATTGTAGAGTATTTAATTTCTTATTTTTATTACCATTTCCTCAGTGACTGGTATTATTTTGTTGAAAGCCCTTAAGGCCTATTCATTGTAGAGTAGTTAATTTCTTATTTTTTAATACCATTTCCTAAGTGACTGATATTATTTTGTGAAAGCCCTTAAGGCCTGTTTCATGTGTGCAAGCAACATTTCTTAATACTTCAAATTTATTGTTGCCTGTGTTTCTAATAATTTCTATATCATGTATAATTTTTAGTCCCCAGAGTAGTGTTTTAAGTTTAAGTTAAGAGGTGCGCATATTGGTGTACCATTATTTGATTGTGTTTGTAGTGTTGGAGGGAATATAAGTGTCTAAATTTTACAGTGTGTCTCATTCATCCCAGTCACAGACGCTATCCTTCCACGGGTCACGGACAGTTCATTTTGTTTAGAAGATTTAAGTGTTCTTGTGCTGGTTCGGGATTTTTCTCAAAGGGGCGCTTCCACTGCCATTACCATCTATTAATTTTTAATAAACCCCAAGTCAAGTGAGAAATTAAAGTCCAGTAAATTCCGACCCGGTCAATTGAACCCAGAGGGTCCCGTGTTAAGTGAAATCCGCGTTAAGTGAACAACAGAACATATGGGATTAATTCCAATAGAAACCGGCCCGACCCCCAAACTCCACTTTTTGAAGGCACATACCTATGTTGTAGTAAAAATAACATCTTAAGTTTATGATGGTACATGCACACAATTAATACTTAAGAGAAATAGAGAAATACAGTCGCCAAGTTAATGTCCATTCAAATAATGGACTCAACCTTGCCTCCCCCCCTCTTCCAACCGCGTGGTCAGTCCCAACCCTCCCCCCCACCCCCCACCAATCCTCCCTTCCAGGGTTTTTAACATTTAGTATTAAATAATACCTCAGATTAAAGTTAGGATAATATAATTGACATTGCTGGATTCCTTGTAAGACCAGGAATATTTTGAATATAAATGTCATATATTTTGCACAAAAGATAACATAGTTAATTTGAGAAAAAATTTTATCTAAAATTTGTATGTCTAATGCAAAAATATGATGTTTATATTCAAAATGATCATCAAATTATAAGAATTCCAGCAATGTAAATTATATTCAGACCGGATAATTTGTATGAATTTTATGAGCTAAAACAAATATCTTCAGTTAATAAAAAAAATAATAATTCTTCACAGGGTAACAGATGGTCGGTCGGTCCCTCCCTCCCCCCCACCCCCCACCAACCGTCCCAAGGAGATGTGTGGGATAACCACTAAATTTTAATAAATAATACCTCAAACTAAAGTTAGGATAATATAATTGACATTGCTGGATTCCTTGTAAGGCCAGGAATATTTTGAATATAAATGTCATATATTTTGCACAAAAGATAACATAGTTAATTTGAGAAAAATTTTTATCTAAAATTTGTATGTCTAATGCAAAAATATGATGTTTATATTCAAAATGATCACCAAATTATAAGAATTCCAGCAATGTAAATTATATTCTGACCGGGTAATTTGTATGAATTTTATGAGCTAAAACAAATATCTTCAGTTAATAAAAAAAAAAATAATTCTTCACTGGGTAACAGATGGTCGGTCGGTCCGTCCCTCCCCCCCACCCACCATCCCAAGGAGATGTGTGGGATAACCACTAAATTTTAATAAATAATACCTCAAACTAAAGTTAGGATAATATAATTGACATTGCTGGATTCCTTGTAAGACCAGGAATATTTTGAATATAAATGTCATATATTTTGCACAAAAGATAACATAGTTAATTTGAAAATTTTTTTATCTAAAATTTGTATGTCTAATGCAAAAATATGATGTTTATATTCAAAATGATCACCAAATTATAAGAATTCCAGCAATGTAAATTATATTCTGGCCGGGTAATTTGTATGAATTTTATGAGCTAAAACAGGCAGTCAGGCAGGGTGGGGCAAATCTAAAAATAGCGTCTCCAGCCGGACACTCACAGCGTATATGTGGAAAAAATCCGTGTTAAGTGAAAGTTCAGCTCTGGCGAGGCACCGCGTATATGATAAAACGCGTTAAGTGAAACCGCGTTAGGCGGGGTAATACTAACGTATTATTATTATTATTATTATTATTATTATTATTATTATTATTATTATTATTATTATTATTATTATTATTATTATTATTATTATTATTATTATTATTATTATATCTTCGCCCCCCCCCCAGGCCCTGATGTGGGTCAAGTGACCTGTGCCCGGGTGGGCTAATCCCCGTAAAAAAAAAGAAACCATTCCGAGAACATATCCATGCCGAGTTGTATAAAATTCCGAGTTATCGAGGGTTTACAGTATATTAAAAGTCAGGTTACATACACTTCATCTTTCTGTGTATTTTTTCTTTAAAATGATTGTGACTCCATTTCTAATTTATGAAACCAGGAAGAAGAACGAAGGAAACAGGAAGAGGAGTCAAGGAAATTAAAGGAAGAAGAAAAGCAAAATGAGGAGGAAAAACTATTATATCTGGCAGAGCAACGCCGTCGTCAAGAGGAAGAAAGGAAACAGTAAGTGTATTAAATAAAATTACAGTAAACCCTGCCAATACTGTACCAAACTAATCCATACAAGCTCTGTCCATTATTGGGAGAATTTTCATTTTCCCCCATTCCCCACCACATGATTTATGGCTATAACAGGCTCTGTTGCAATGAAGACTGTCTATCTAATGAGAGCCCTGCTATGTTAGACAGCTACTTCTACAGTGGCACCTTTTAATTGATGGATCTCCACAGGTACTCTGTGTGGGAAAATTTCTGAATACCAAGTTATTTCTGGGGAATATCACCTTATTTAATACCATTGTAGTGCAATAACCCTATCTGGTGTCAAGCAAGTGTGTTTTCAATTACAGTTTTTGTGCTTATCTTGTAAGCACTTTCTTCCATAGGAAACACAACTGGTAAGGTACCATTTTGGTGGTTTCATGGTACCGTACATTTTATTCATTGCCCACTGCACAAACTGGAGACCATAACTCCACTGGTTGCTTTTATTAATGCACATCCAAGTACCTCAGTTTTGCTCGCCTGGTGCACCTCTCACTTCACTGAGGATTGCTCATTTTGGAACAAGCTGTGTACAGCCATCTCTCAATTTATATGGTAGTTACGTTCTTGAGAATGACCGTGTAAATCAAACCTAATTATCCCATAAATAAAGGAAATGGCGGGGGTTAGGGGAAGCGCTCCCTAAAAACTTTAATTTGTGGATCTATTTCCTTCAGTATGTTTTTTTTACAAAAATATATTAACAATAATAATACAATAATAGAAGCAAATCTAATAATACAGTAGTAAGAAAATAGATTTTAAATGAAAATTTGTGCGAACGTAAACATTGAATGATGGCTGAGATGGCATGCAGGAACTAGTGGTGGAGGAGAGGTGGGGGTTACTGGGGGAGTTAGTCATTTGAATCAGATGACAGAGCAGGTGAATGGGGAGAAGTGGGAGCTTTCGAGTTACCATATGTTGATGGCTGAGGTTAAGGTGATTGTTACTCTTTCCTTTTTTGTAAAGTAGGAAAGCAATGAGATGTAGAACTATGCTGCCTGGCGCAATGGGACTCTTTTGAAAACTGTGTTATTTAAAAATAGGTGTTAACTTAATGCTAGTGTTATTTTAAGAACATGCTAATTAAATCCGTGTAAAGTGAGAGGTGACTATACTGCTCCGAGCCCTCATGTCTGTGACTCATCTGTGAGGGTGTGTAAATTCATAAAATTAGAGAGATAATTCAAATTTTAAGTAAAAACAGGGAGTGAAGCTGTTCCATACATTCCCCGCTGCTGGGCGAAGTTTTGCTGGTGGTGGACAATAAGATATCATTTGGGTCGTATGTGCTTTATAATATTTGTATGTCTTATCTCAAGCATAATGGCTTTTATTGCACTTTTCAATTGAAACGTTAATCATGACCCCACTTATTCGCAATTTATATTTTAACAGGCATATTCTATACTTAGTTCAGTATCTGTATTCGCAAAGCATACCTTGCTTATCCGCAAAGCGAATTAGAAAATTGAAAGAAATAATTACAATATGCTACAGTAAATTTGTTTCAAACTGCACAAGCTAACTAGCTGCTGCACTCATACTGTATTCCTCTGTCAGAAGTAGTGCTTGGCAGAGATGCCAGGTACGATGCTGTTACCAGCTATGGACTTCTGACCCCAAGACTCGGCTGATTATGCTGTAAATTTTGTTCCTCTTTAATGGTCGTTAATTATGCCTGCATCTCTCTTCATTTCCAATTTAATGGAATATTTCTGCTGGTTACTGTCATTTAATTTGGTTTATTTTAGGCATGATAAAGGATTAATGTGTGGCTGTGCATTATTGCATATATAATGTGCTTGGTGGGATTTTTTGGGTGGAGGCCATATGTGTTTTCATAATGGAGTTTTGTTTTCTATGTATGATGATATTTAACTTTTCAGGAGCAAAATAAGGAACATGCTGGAGGTGTGTGTCATCTCTGGTGCTTGGTGGCTCAAGCTATGTGAGCAGGCTGCATAGTTAATTGTTTTTGCTGTGTATTCATACACCAGGCCATGCGAAAGAGTTCTCTCTGTCTGCTTTGATCTGTTGCGTTGTGTGGTAGTGTCGATACTGTGTCAAAATTTTTTTCGTATTGCCTCCTACTCATTCACACATTTTATACACACAATCACAAAGTTTAGTAATTATTAACAACATTTGTGTCGGTGTGTCTTTACAGTAAGTGAATTTTTTACACCCATGGTGAATCAATATTCTATGCTTATTTTAACCCATAACTGGTCATTAACGTTCAATTACGTGATCACCGATATTATTATCTCTGGTCAGTCACGTATTAGAACGTTTTCCAAATCTGCTTTTCCCGCACCTTTGAAATTGATTCTAGCTACCATAATCTGTTTGTGTAAATGTTCCCCCCCCTCCCATCTCTCCCCAGGGGGCCCCACCCTCCCATCTCTCCTCACAGTCAAGGCCCTGGGACTACACAGTAGTCTCTCGATAGCCATGGCATGTGAACGTAACCGGTCACTCAATCAGGTTGAGACATACTCTAAATTATTTGGTAGGGGTGAAGATGAGTATAGATTGACAGAGGCATGCATTGATAGGGATATTGAACGTGATGATAATGATAGTGACTAAGACTATGTGTTTGAACAAGAGGAAAACAACACTGATAAACAGCAAGTAGAGGAGAGAGGGTTGGTGTCCTCTTCATCTCCAGGAACGTCCAGTACTCCCTCCATTTCACCTACCCCTACCAGTCCGTCCCACTGTATAGTTACATCCACCCACACCCCTTCCTCCCTCCTACACTAGCTCCCTCCCTCCCTCCCATACTGCTACCTCCATCCCACCCTGTTCCCTCTCTCACATGCCTTCCACCTACATTGCTCCCTCCCTCCCTACCTCCCTCCCTCCCTCCCTACCTACCTACCTACCTACCTCCCTCCCTCCTACAGTGTGTGTGTGTGTGATCATTATGTATATATGTGGCTGCAAGACAAACCAGTAGTACTGTGACAGCACTGGAAGCGAGTAGAGGTTTGGGAATACTGCACCAGCCCTGGATTTAAATGTCTCGCAGCACCTTTAAACGAGGCAGATTTTCAAGTGTCATTTTGGGGTGTTTGGGCCATAAAAGAAAAATATGATTATCCCCGACCAGGGGGTTGGGAGGGATACCATGGATGTATAATAATGTGACCTTTTTGCAGGCTAAAGATGCTTGGCTAATAAAATGTGTTTCTGCAGTGTTGTTTTGTATTGTATTATGGTATTGTACTTATTTTAATACATTACACCTCCACCAATTATATAATTATATTAATTCTTATGGGAGAAATTATCCTGATATTCGCAATGAATTTTAGGGACACATCATTTGCAATGACCGGGGTATTAACATATTATTGATGCCTATGTAAAATATGTTGAAATTTCTGTGTCATAATGATCAAGGGAATAATTTTAATTATGCCCTTTGTCCTTGAAAACGTCAATAACATGCCATCTTTGCCTGGAGAGAGAGAGATAGGTTCAGGGTAACAACACCAATGAAAAAGAAAGTGTAATTTTCTCCCTCTCTCTCTCTCTCAATATTTTTGGTCTATTACAATCAGAACAAAATTTTAGAGGGAATGTGTATAACATCTTCATGTAAGGGACATTATAATCAATACTCGGTGGTAGATGTAGCGCATGATCTCATCACAGCTGGTGCTAAATTATTTGTTTAGTTTCGATTCTGATTCGTTTGGAAGGAGAGACAGGCTTTTTGAGGTGGTTGTACGTACATCCACACTAAGTTAAACACTCAGTATTTCCTCTTAAGAATAATAAAAAAAACTATTAATATACAGTAAAAGTCCAAAAATCCGGATGCCAGAAATCCGGACCACCCGAGAATCCGGACTTTTCGAAAACTCAAACTTTTTTTTTTTTTTTTTTTAGCTGGCTTTTGTGTGTATGTGCGCATGCGTGAGCGCCACAGCTGCACAGCGACAACAAGCGATCGCCACTTTAAAACGAGCAATCAAACTGTGACAACGTATGTAATTTTGAGTCCTACTCTTTCCATTTACAGAGCCCATAATAATGGCTCCTGAAGTAGATAAACTCCGTTGTGTGAAGAGAAAGAAGAACACGTTGAAATTGGGTGACAAACTTTAAATAATTAAAATAGAACGTGGTGTGAGCAATACTGTTCTAATGGAAACATACAACATTGTAAAGTCTACAATTTATGATATAAAAAAGGCAAAGAATAAAATTCTAGAATTCACAGCTTTTTCTTTAAAACTGCTCATTTTGATAAATGAAGCATGCTATATTTGCTAATGAATAAACTATCAAAATGTATCTGTTCATCTCTTCTTTATTCCTCCTTAAATTTGAATTTTAAAAGTACTGCCTGAGAATCCGGAAAATCCGAAAATCTGGACTGACCCAATCCCCAAGCAGTCCGGATTTTTGGACTTCTACTGTATTTAGATAATCTTTAACAACATATTGTATTGGATGCTTCTTATTATTAACAATAATACCATATATGTTTAACCATGAGAGACTTAAGCTTGTACTACAAATACATATAGTACACTATATATACGGTATATATTTAATATGACAGGTAGGTTAATTTAGCCACGTAAAAAAATCTAAAAAAAAAAATTCCATTGATGTTTTTGTTTTTAATTGCACCAGTGAAGTCATGATTAATTTATTCTGCTTTATTAGTTATTGAAGAAACTGTAGTATATCAGAAAAATTTTCTTTTGTAGAAAAATTGCTGAGGTAGAACGCATCGCCCGTGAGAAAAAGGAGTTAGAATACCTTAAATTGCTTGAAGCACAGCGCATTGCTGAGTTACAACAAGCTAAATTGACAAGCTCAGCAGTTAAAAAGGTAAAAACTAAAGTACTTATTTTCCTTTTGCTGCATTATTTAACAATTGGTAATTAATGCAGAACTTCCTTTAGATAACATCATCTTTTGCTCAGTTCTGTTTAATGTGTTATTATGCCTGTATTCCATCAGTATTCCTCTAATCCTTTTCTCAAATTTATTATTTCTTAGCTCCTTAGTAACATCTTCATGTCCACTTTCCACATGAACCTGTAGCTTCAGTGCTCAGGTTAGTTTGTCAGCATTCTCTATTGTATTTTGTTGATTATTATGTTGTAATGCTTTTATTCATCTTATGATTATATATCTCACACTGTAATTTTCCTACAGATTGCACTAGCTGATAACAAGGAAACTGGACTAAATCATACATTCACTTTAAGTGATAACAAGGAAAATGGTCTTAATACCACATTTTCCAAAACTACTGGACCGTCTCAGTCAAGTTCTACTGGGAAAAACAAAGATAGTTATGACATTACACCAAACTCCAAGAAATATAAGAAAAATATTAATAATTATGATATAAATGATATTGAGAGTGATGACTCAACTGATGAGGACAGTGCTCCTAAGAGGAAAATTCCTCCCTGGGCTATGAGTAAGTTTAAAATTTGGATATTAATTTTTTCCTATTGTTTGGGATTTTATGAATAGAATATGTAATGGTTACATACTTATAGATTGTTGTATCAGACACATTGCAGTAGTTATATTGTACAACCTCCCTCGGTATTTTTGTTCCATAGTAAGGCAGGTTGAAAGTGCAAACAATGGCAATTAAAGTTTGTATGATGTAGACTCAAGTTCTAGATTAATTAATTTATTTACATTTTCATCTTGGATTATCTGCTATTGTTTGATGTCTTTCCAGCAACATAAGTGAAACTAAGTTTCTAATGCACTGATAATTGTGGTAATTAGCACTGTCTTGCCTTTCCACTGAGGTTGAGTTGGCAGCAGCATAAACATATCATACTGTTAGTCTCCTTCAACATGATGAAGTACACTGACTCATTCACACAAAGAATATTGCCCATGCTGTATGGCAAAACTTGAGGGATTGCCTTTAATCCTGCCATAATGATAAATTAGCGAGCACAATTTTTCTAAGCTGAAACCCCGCCGTGAAATAGTTAAGCAAATATTTGGGGAAAACTTTTAAAAGGATAAAGTTTTATGATGTAGATGGCTGGGTAGTACCAGTGTAATGTTATATTGATGGAGAACAACTAAAAGGAAAAAAAAATAATATATATATATATACAGTACTCCCTCTTTATCGA